TCGCATTTTTATGGTGAGACAAATATGTGTACGACTGTTTCGATTGAAAAGGACAGCTACTCAGCCAGGCCACACGAGTCAGTAACTGGCAGGACGGGTGAATGAGAGAGAGAGAGAGGGGGGGGGGGGGGGGTTCAAGCAACATAGATGTATGTGTCTATGGCGTCCGCGTCTCTCTTCATGTAGCCATGATCGATGAGCCACTCAACCTGTTCTTTGATCATGCGCTTTGTTGGAGCAAACATGTTCCTCAAGATCTGGATCAGCTCCATCTGCAGAACATTGTCCTTGATCGTCATGCGCATCTTCATAATTTTCACGATTGCCTCCTGATGGGACAAAACCAGTCACACACAGTGTTCACACAAGTACCGTTCTTCCCAGATTATGTGATTGTATAGGTCCCCCCCCCCCCCTTCAGGCCTCAGCCGTTAGCTTTTCAATACCTACCGTAAAGTAGCGCGAGAGCACTCCGCTATCTCATCATTTCGCGATCGTGCTGTGGAGGTGGTACCCTGTCTGTTGGTCATACACCACGCACCTTGTACACGCATTGCACGTCGCGCAGTCGATCCGCACTCAATTTACCTTGGAGCGGATGCAAGCTCCACACAAAAACATGCTAAGTGTGACCTTAGTACACTATGGTTTTCACACCGCACATACTTAGTTGCACTCTGCAATGCGATTTTTACTTTCTCTGGCTGCATGTACATCAAGACGGAGTGATGTCGCGAGACAGGGCACTCTCGGTGTGCTTTACGGCACTCACATAAGTAGGACATCGCGCTCGATTGTAAGTCACACTCCCTTCTTTGCCCATGAAGTTACGTGTAAACACGTGCGACTTATATTTTTCGGGGAAATATGGCAAGTGAAACCCGACATAAAGATAATAGCTTAGGGAGCCAGCCTGAAAGGCTTAAGTGCTACCCTGGGCCTAGTAATACGAATACATGTACCGTATATTGAAGGGCCGGAGCAATACCGTCTACACGAGAACTAGACCAAAATCTCCCCTGCTGTCCGTTATCTCAACTCTCAATTTCATGCACAGTTTTTTCATTACGTAGAGTGCAGTTAGAAGTTGTGCGAAGCTCCTGTCACTGAGCCTTTCATTTTAGTGTTGTTAGTAAGCCGCTACCTTGAATACCTGACATAGTCATCGCTATCATTGTCAGCCCGAGGCCGAGCCGGTGGCTCTTCTGTCCTGTCTGCTTCCCAGTCAGGGTACCCCGGGAGCTGCACCAACAGGCGTAGTGGACAAGACCGGGAAACCGACGTCCCCAGGTTCTCTTCGTGCTACGAGTCAGATGGTTACAAATATGGACATGGAAGAAACCAGGGAGACGTTCCGTACCATCCAAGATGCCAACAAGAAGACGAAGAGGTGAATGGCAGCCATATTTTGTGACATTGAGATGACATTCAACGCCATTATTGCCGAGAACCTCGCCTAGAAGGAACGTCTGGAGGACCCGGAAAGGAGTGTTCCTGGACTTAAATTACCCCGTACCGTAACAGGTGCTCGTATGGATGCTGGGAGTAGAGCCGATACTACGAAGTTGTACTGGTGCCAGCATACACCCAGCATGGTGCACACAAGCACTGCATAGGACAGAAACTGACCCGAGAGCAGTGATGTGGAAGAAGCAGACAGGACCGTCCCCGCCAATAACATTATCGTGGGAGGCTTGAAGGAACCGGCTGAGCCCGATGCAGATGAAAGCGCTGGTGCGTCCCTGGTCCTGGAAATAACAATACCTGGCTGGGCTGTGAAGTGAACACCACTCTACTGACTTTATTCACAAGGCCGCTGTTTTTCGCTTGCCATCGGTCACTGTAGATGTGATGTAGACCAAGTTGAAAGTGATACACACAATCACAACCTGTCAAGAATACTAGTACTCGTCCAAACACAACTTACTTGCAAACGTAGTATCCGGAGTGCAATGATGCCCTCGCCAACCTCGTCACGCACCCTTTCCGTCACCAGCTGCAGTTTTCCGACATACGATACCTTGCCACGGCGCTGAACTTCATTGTTACGTCTACAACGGACAACACGACAGCAGTCGAAACCATCATACTTCAACAGAGTACAGCAAGCACGTGTAGACGAGGTGTACCAAATAATTCAAAATGAATACATTGGATGTCTCAGTGACCTGTGGAAAACCACAACTCACCAGTGATTCCCAATCTAGTAGCAAACAAAAGAGAGTACATTTTCTATACTGATTGTGCTGTATCAGAGACCCATGGTTTGAGAACATGTTGATCACAACAGTGCCCAAAGACACAGCAACTTTAGTACTGTACGACCCAATCTGCGGACAGAACTGTTTCGTCCTTTGTGGACTCATCAGCGCAGCACAGAGAAATGAGGCCAAACCTGGTGGCAATGAAAATTTAAAAAAAATTCAAAGCCAGATAGATTGCCAAAACAGGTTCGGCCTCATTTTCTCTGTGCTGCGCTGACGAGTCCACAAAGGAAGAAACAGTTCTGTCCGCAGATTGAGTACTGTAGGACCACATATTTTCAGAAGCAAGGTTGAGGGTTCTTGTAGTTTCACCTAATAGGAAGGTATTGGAGTTGAAAAGCTCGTTGCCATCACTCTGTAAAACAATGAGCACCATAAAGCTGGTTGCAAAAAACGATGTACATAATTTATTATTATACATGAATAGAGCATGCACAGTTGTTTTCTGGGATGGACAGCCAGAATTCGATAAGATTTCACGTCGCTAACCAGCAAAAATTCGGAGACCGTTAACTTTAAATCGCATTGACACTTGCGATCTTACAGTAGCTGCTCCTTTGCCGAGCTTGCACATTGACCCGAGTGGCAAAATGCCGAAACATTTAAAATCGATACGAAAACGGGCGTTCAGTGTTTCGCAGGGTGATGGCAACGCGCTTGTCAGCTCATGCATGTGAACTAGGGCCCCAGAAAGCAAGAGCCCATGCCTTCATGGGAACATGCTCTCTCATTCTCTCTTGGAGTGGCACTGCTATCACCTTTCCCCATACACTGCGGAAAGCCAAAGCGTGCCACACTCCAGCAAAAGCAGAAGGAAGTACAAGTACATGCCTGGAGACGTAATATTATGTTTAGTGGTATGCCTGCGAAAGCTACAGCAGTGTGAAGATATTGCCATGCTGGAAAGGGCATTGAGTTGCCCCACGTACTGGTCGTCGAATGTCCATACTAGTAGTTTTTTCGTCCATCAGAAAGACTACATGGTATTATACCATTCAAAGTCACTGCAACCGGCCCATCCTGCTTCTATCATGGCAGCTTCTCCATGCAGGCAGCATATTGAACAGAGCCCAGACCATGCTAACTACAGTGCAGTCTTGCCAAGCCCTTCACCATAAACCCAAATCAGCAGCTACGTCTTGAAGTGCACTTGCAGGCGTGATACCTGGTACCACAACTAGTGTTTGCCGCAGCACTGTCTCTCTCGCCATTGTCTCTCTCGCCATTGTCTCTCTCGCATCTGTATTGTAATGTGCATACTCGTCTTAAATAAATCTGTCCTTGTCTTGTCCCGCGATGGACTCCTGCATGGCTTGCAGGCCGAATACAACATGGTGGCAGCGGTGGGATTCGATGACAATACAGATGTGAGAGAAACAGTGTGGAGAGAGACAACGCTGCGACAAACACTATACACTACATTACCTGTTACCACAACTGCACTGTACATGACTCACATCACAGCGAACTGGTGGTTGATTCTGAGGCTCGTCTCCGGCGTGAACTCTCGAGGGTTCTTGGCGCTGGGCTCCACGAGTAGCAGCTGGCGTTTTAGCTTAGGCATGTGAGACAGAGACCAGACGGTGCGGCGAAGCTCCACATCACCCAGCTCGGTGGCGAGTGCCAGGTCTGCTAGGCTGAGCGACTCCTGCGGCCGCTGGTTCCAGGCGAAGAGCACCGCCATTTGAAAGGTGGTCACCTCTAGATCATAGCTACCTACGTCTGTTGTCATGGTGATCTGCAACCAAGCAACGAGCGATCATCGAACAGAGATTTGAACGGGAAGGTATTGAAATAAATTGACAATTTATCCACTGTTACAATGCTTGATGCAACCAGGAAGATAAATTAACTCTGTTCGTAAGATTGGGCATAACATTACAATACCTAGAGCTGTGAATGTCTACCTGTCTACATTATCCAGTCTTTGACCAATAGTCATATTCTATTACAGCTACAGGCAACAGCAGATGCATCAGCTCCTTGTATTGCTACATCACCACCGATGAAGTCGCGCACCCAAAGCCATGGGAAGTGGGACGACACACGGAGGTGCGAAACACACTTACAATGCCACTGGAGAGGTTGTGATGCCACGTTAGCCGTCTCCCACTGTGCGCCTTCGAATAGAACTGCTCGGCTTCAGGAATGAAGTCTTCAAGCTGGGAAAACAAACCAGCAGCAACATTGGTGCAACAGACCATCACAAAGGCACCGATAAATACCGGGTGGACACGAGTTAAGGGGAGAGGATAGCTCCAGCGCAACATGAACTTGTCAATTATGTTGTTTTTATTTTACTTCACCATAGGTACAGGCTTTTTGCTCTTTTTGCTGTGGGTAATGAACGATGCCACAGCTCCTATTAAAGGTATGATGAAAAACTGCATAGAATAGGTCTTGATATTATAGCAAAGCTCTTACCTCCATGGGTAGTGACACAGTCACACGCTCAGAGTTCTTGCTCCATGCACCATGATTGAGAATCTTGATGTTAGCCATTGCTACGAGCACACGTACGCGTACACACACACACACACACACACACGCACACACAAACACACACACGCACATGTATGCATGGGTGCACACACACACACGTACACACGTACACACACACACATATGCACATGCACACACTCATACACAGACACAGACAGACAGACAGACACACACACACACACACAGGCGCACAAACAAACACACAAATATGTCAAAGTTTCCAGACACACACACACACACACACACACAGAGGCACACACACACACACACACTGCCTATAAGTAGGGGGGGGGGGTACAAGGCTTGGAAAAGAATGAAAAACTGTGCAGAATACTAGCCTACTCAGTACTGGAAAATCTCTTGAGGCGCACAGAGATGCTACAGGCGCACAGAGATGCTACAGGCGCACAGAGATGCTACAAAGGAAGACAACTGCAAAAAGATCACTTACAAGCCAGACTGGCCAGATCCTTATCACGGAGAAATTCCTTGAAGGCACTGTTTACGTCATTGCTGATCTTGATGTCCTGGAACATGCGGCTAAGCTTAGTGACATACTCGGCTGGCATACCACCATGCTGTAATGAACAGAGCGTGACAAAAGTACACTGCACAGTTCAGCTGCACAGTTCAGCTGCATCTCTCTATGTCTGTCTGTCTGTCTGTCTGTCTGTATGTTTATCAGTCTGTCTGTCTGTCTGTTTATCTGTCTGTCAGTCTGTCTGTCTGTCTGTCTGCCTGTCTCAAGGCTTGAAATAGATGAAAGCGAAGCTGTACTTCTTGTGAACCACACATCAGGCATGTACGCGAATCCCAAGCAGAGATTCACAAGTGAATGAGTCGGAGGAAAGACACTGACAAGGCCAGTCACCTGACGAGGAATGTGATTCGCACAGAAAAAAACTGGTGGGTAAAAACCGTCTCGACTGTTTTTTAGGCAGTGACGGAGAAAGTAAAAGGAGAAAAAGGAAAAGAAAGCGACTGCCAATGTGGGCCAATGCCTGGGTTTGAGCGAAAACATGGCGCAGCTTCCAATGTGACTTCAGTGAAGTCTGAAGGCTCTTCGAGCTTGGGAAGAGGCCAGCTCTTAGTGTAGTGCAATTATGGACGAGACTATTGTAGTGAGAAGATTGTAGTGAGAAGAAGCAGAAGAAGGAGAAGCAGAAGAAGATCAGGAAACTTACACGCAGCCACTGCACAACATCCTCCTCCTTCTCACTGTCAGTTGAAGTCTCGGATATGAGACGGCGCATCAAGTGCATCTGGTGAAACCTGTCCCACACACACAAACACAGACAAGACAAAATACCAGCATAACGCAAAGTACAACAGTTATCTGAACCACCTGATTCAGGCATGCGCCCACCACTTCTTCATCTTTTACTGAGAATCTAGTCGTATGGTTAGACGGGAAGGCAGAAATGGGAGAACGTTGAAACCTTCCACTCTCTCTCTCTCTCTCTCTCTCTCTCTCTCTCTCTCTCTCTCTCTCTCTCTCTCTCTCTCTCTCTCTCTTTCTCTCCCTCCCTCCCTCCCTCCCCCTCTCTCTCTCTCTCTCTCTCTCTCTCTCTCTCTCTCTCTCTCTCTCTCTCTCTCTCTCTCTCTCTCTCTCTCTCTCTCTCTCTCTCTCTCTCTCTCTCTCTCCCCCCCCCCACACACACACAACACACACACACACACAACACACACACACACACACACACACACACACACACACACACACACACACACACACACACTTGTACTTGTTGCTCACTGCCAAAACTGGTCACGTGGGTCTCCCCGGGAGAGGGGAGAGAGACTCATAAGGAATCTGCCTCCCCGGGAGAGGGGAGAGAGACTCATAAGGAATCTTGGAATAAATAATAATAATTCGCGGGATTCGCGTTGGCATCGCTTGAATGTTCAGAAACACACAAACTAGCCTTCGCTTCCGCAGGCCACCACTATACCTATGCCTTGCACACCTTAGTGGCGAATGCAGACCTCACAAGTGAGTCAGGGGAGAGTAGGTGAGTCTCTCAACCAATCGGGCGTGTAACGGCCCATAACCCTGTAAACTGCATCCTTGTTACCCTCACTCCGAGCTGTGAGTACCCAGTTGACCGTGGGTGTCGGCGCAGTTCACCACGCATAAAAAGTCTTTACTCACGTAAAAAGTCTTTACACGCTCCCTGCTACCAGCGCGGGTCTCGAACTCGGGACCTCATGATTCGCAGGCAAGCCTGCAAACCAATCGGCCATATGCGTTGGTCAAAGATGACTCAATTGGCTATTGAACCGCCCAACGGCCGACACCCCCTGAAATCCCCAAAACTCTGGGTGGACTTGAAAATGATCCCACTTATGGGCTCACCACACCTCAGTAAGTGGGTGAGGACAAGGTGCAGAAAAAGGATTGACGGCATCAGGGTATCCGTCCTGGGATCCAACTGCAGTTACACCTGCCCCCAGTGAAGGTAATACTTGCTACTACTAGTGTGGGTGGCTAAATCAGAGTGGATCGATATAAGCTTCACTAGCACCATTGATTACACAAGAGTTAATCTAGCCAGAAGGAGTCCATGGTTAACAGGTATGTATACTTCAAATAGAAAGCATATGAGCCCTGGAACCAACAACGGTGGCAGATACAACAATACATCTTCAAGCAGCCGAGCCTGTTGGCAACGGACTCAACACTATCTGGCATATGTGTACCCACCAACCGGACTAGCTGACACACACACACACACACACACACACACACACACACACACACACACGTGCACGCACGCACAGAAACACTCTTTTAAAAACAGTCATTCTTACCTCATAAAAACATCTCCGTTCTGTACATACTTGAGCAACAGGACCTACTCACAGAACAAACAAAGAAGAGGAAAACAACACATGAAACAATTGACGCTATCAAGCAAGCTACAAGTACAAACATATTATTATTTAATAAAATAAAACTTCCAGGTCAACATTTGAATAGTACACACATTCAGATCACCCCATCAAATGAAGAGTTGATTGCAAATTCATAGACTGCATTCGTTTCGTCTACTTGGTAGAGAAGGGTAGAACGGATTCTGGAAAAAATAGAAGACGGCAGATGGGAGTGCATGGACGCAGATCAACTGCGAACAAAATCACGGTCTGCGTGAGACTCGGCTAGAGGCCGAGTTTTCCGTATACGTAGGACCGCCACCACCCTCAAGGGTCAACTGCAAACAGTCTGGCTATTCGGCCTTGCCTAAGCTGAGAATTCATGGGTACAATGTGGCACCCCAGTGAGGTCTATCTACGGTAGAAAGGTTATATTATATCGAGAATTTGAGAATCAAACACATGAACCCACTCCTCGTGCTGGAGGCTCTTTCCAAATCAAAGTACGCCTTACAGCTTCGCTTTCCACACCACTCAAAATTGGTGCGGTAAAAATCTGTGTTTGCCGGACCCTGTACCAAGCGGCATGCTGTATTGACCGGACAAACGTTCAAGCACCAAAGTGCTGTGGATCAAAACTTGTATCCCTGGATCAAGTGGAATCCTGTCATGTCAGGACAGTTTCCGCTGAACCAAGGGTGTCCGGTTAGAGCAGGGTTATACTGTACAGGCAAAACACAATGCAGGTTAGTTGGTAGCCCTTAGCCTGGTGCCACTCACCACCCGCACGTGCCACTCACAGTCTCGAGGTGAACAGACAACAACACATACCACGTCTTTGAGACGGTCATCAATTTCATCTGACGTTAGCTTGCGGCTGAGAGGTGTTTTCCGCAACAACTGGTCGCAATAGTTGGCAAGCAATTCCGGACAGCGAGACTCCGGCGGTGATCTTGATCCTCTGTACAACAACAGCCATCACGCAGAAATGCACACAGACATGTTGAACAGAGACTGAGTACAAACTCACAACTCCCTGACCTGCATGGCGGCACACCGGATATGATCAACCAGTCCAAAGAAAGGCGTCATCAAGACTCACTCCTCTGAGCTGCAGTTTTTTGCCACACACAATAATTATCCCAGGGATCCGTCATAGATATCGGAGCGCGCGTGTGCGTGCGTGCACATGTGTGTGTGTGTGTGTGTGTGTGTGTGCGCGCGCGCGCGTGTGTGTGTGCGTGCGCGCATGTGTGTGCGTGTGTGTGTGTGTGGAGGGGGTAGTAACAATGACTGCGTGACATCTGGAGCAAGGAGGATCGGGTTTAAGTGACCGAACCATGCATCACAAACACCTTATGAACCAAGCAACCACCATGATGAGAAAGGAAGAATTAGGACATTCCAATGCAACACGAGTTGCCTATGACCAGTGCTGTCAAAATTAATAGTTTTCACGTTTCACCTAAAATCGGACAACATTTCGAGATATCAAGTAAATGGACCACTGTTCCCTCGTGTGATAAGAATCACAACATAACACTGATGTGTGGCATTGCTGCGTGGACCAGGATTGTCACAATGGCTACGAATGACACTACAAGCCGCTTACATTGCACCACGTTTTGCACCAGCATCGCCCGTATTCGTTAGGTCCATACGGAACACCGACGTGTCGTTAACAAGACGTCGAAACGCCTGCACAGAAAAAAGAAAGAAAAAAAAGAAAGAAAACGAGCATGGCCCACGTGGGTTAAGCTCCCAATCCAACACTCAGTCATTGCAATATGTAGTTAGTAGTTACCCGTGATGGCGCGTATGAAAGCCGGGCGCATTCCTTCAGAAGCCGATACTAGGGCTAGAGTTTCCAAATCAGGTTTGTATTCAAAACAGGTTTCTGTATAAGACAGGCTTTTTATACAAGACTGTAGGGTACATACTGTCGCGAACGCGATCAGATTTATAATTACGGAAATATTTTTTTTTAAACCTGACATAAATTTTACCGCTAGAGCTTTCTGACCTTGCCTTTTCCAGTCCATATTCTGAATGTAGGCATGCGCAGCATGGCACGCGCGCATAATAGGCATGCGCGATCTTTAGCCGTATCGATTTGGCCCGCATACTCCAAATGAGCCTTCTCTTTCAGAGCACAAACATTCGACCCCGTGTCACTCGTGTTGTGTGAAGTAAGGAAATTAGTGGCATGAGTTTTACCAGGGTAGTCGGTGCTACTACTTCGAAGCACTAATCACACTGGTGACACATATGGCAAAAAGATCATTTTAGGAACTACAAGCAGACTTTGCCTCAGCATACATTCCAGCCCGTACAGAACGACTGCCTGACTACTAATATGGCCTCCCTGTGTACCCTGGGGCGATCACTGAAGAACAGTTTCCACTGCAATGCTGTGGAACATGATGCAGCAGTTGGACAAGAATGAATATGTGCTTCTACACGTATAATATGTGTGTATGTGTGTGTGTGTGTGTGTGTGTGTGTGTGTGTGTGTGTGTGTGTGTGTGTGTGTGTGTGTGTGCGTGTCGGTGTGTGTGTGTGTGTGTGTGTGTGTGTGTGTGCGTGTGCGCGTGTGCGTGCGTGTGTGTGGGTGCACACCCAGTGCATTTGAAGATTTGCGTGCTTCTCTTGCGACGGGCGTGTACATGGTACATACATGGTGTGTATGTGTGTGTGTGTGCGTGTGTGTGTGTGTGTGTGTGTGTGTGTGTGTGTGCGCCGCAACCGCTGTGTGCTATCGCGCCAAGGCATGAAACGTCACAAGTGCAGCCGTGGCTCGGCCAGAGCAACCAACACAGACCGTAGCTCCTTCTGCATCGTTTGCAATTGCGGTCGGCGTTTCAGTAGACCAAAGGACCTATCCCGTCATCGCCCCTACTGTTCCGAACCTGCTTAACCCCCCATGGGGTCCGCATAGCCAGAATATGGCAGCGCGTCCAAGGTCCAAGGTGTGTGTGTGTGTGTGTGTGTGTGTGTATGTGCATGCGTGTGTGCGTGTGCACTCTTACCAACCTTGTCACGGATCGTTAGAAATCTGGCATCAGCATCAAAGGCTTCTTCAATCAGATGTGTATACTGTTTGAAGAGACTCAGCAGCTTCTCCACGTACTTTTCAGGATCCTTCAAGGAAAGAAAGAGAGAGAGAGAGAGAGAGAGAGAGAGAGAGAGAGAGAGAGAGAGAGAGAGAGAGAGAGAGAGAGAGAGACGGACAGAGATCAGGAGAGAGACACTGAAGTGCTCTTTTCAGTTCCTCAATGTTTCACATCACAGCATCCGTAATTAGAAGAAATGGTCAGTTTGTCTCATACAAGCACCTGACAGTAGTCCAAACTGGCCACTACCATACTGCATGGGTATGTTGTCAAATCTGCACTTAAATAAAATCCAAATTTTCGGGCCAGGCCCATTTTAAGGAATAAAAATCAAGAACAACGACTATGGTTATTACATCTGACAAAAACGATGAGACAGATAGCACCAAGAGGAAACAAAGGATAGCGCGAACAAAAAATCAGCAGCAGCAGCAGAAGCAGTAAAAAACACACGTAGCAGGCTAGAACGTCACAATCACCCAAACCAAGCAGTAGCATCACACCACTCCCAGGAAAGAGTAAGCATGTGTGTACTGTTACAAAAAGCACCCACTGAACATATCAGTGACAAATAACGCCTAAGTACCTAAACATCGCCCAACAAACACCAGCCATTGTCCATATATATTAGGTAGAATAGAGAGAACAAACGCCTAAAAGGAGTGAAGTGATGATTCTCACGCACACAGAAAACATGAGTAATCCTACAGCAACGCAATAGAGATGCATGTGTGAAGAGGCAAGATATACACTGTGACAACAACAGACGACCGACCAAACTTACAATATCTGAATGTCCTGCCCAACAGCCTAAAGCGTGCATGTGCTCCGCCTTCTGCTGCTACAGGTATCACCATAGGATGTGTCATGTTGCTACAATTGTATGTGCGTGAGAAACCAGCACTTCACTCTTTTTTTCACTGTTTGTTCTCGCTAATCTTCCTCTAAAGTGGCGCACCTGGCAACTTGCAGTACGTGGACTGAACGTAAATGTATGTGCATAGTGAACCGTTAATGCAGGTACAGTCAACTTCGATAATAACGACTGTGGATATAACGACAACTCGCGAATAACGACAGAATTTCCATGCCCGGAGCAAAGTCCCGTCTGACTGTATACATTAAATTTTACCTTCGGATATAACGACTATCTGAATATCGACAATTCGCGAATAGCGACATGATTTTAGTGCCCCGAGAGTCTAGCATCCTAACGGATACGGAAGTACATGCAACTACATTCACACAAGTGCACAACGGCGGGAAACTTTGTTTCGTTGTATCTATGACTTTCATGGAAATTGGGCCAATCATCCGACATCAGCTGTCTGATGATTGGCTGCTCACTTGCCATGTAACCCCGAGCAACAACAATACAAAGTTTCCCGCCGTTGCGTACTTTTGTCGCAGGCTCCTCTTCGTGGGATTAAGCACTGTCGCAAGTCAACGGAAACTCCGCTTTGTAGCTAGATTCAGGTCCTGAACTTTTTTTGATACTATTTTCCTCTTCAGTATGGCCATGCCACTTATAATGTTCCAGCTTGGGGTTAGAAAGATCAGGAGAGAGAGTAAGCTTTTCGACCAGGTTTTACATGATCTGGACAGGTTTTACACCTCACAGCGCACTTAGCACTTAGTTAGCACTAGTTGGTTAGTTAGCAGCATCCAAAATCCAGAATTATGAATTCAAGGAGGTGAAATTCAGCCCAAACCAGACTTTCACAACTCCAATGTCCATCTTCCTTTCTGAACGGACTGTAGGTGAATATCAGGGCATCAGGGCATTCAGTGCAGCTAAATGGTAATACAACTTACTGAGACAATTGTACCGGCATGACGCTTCATGTCCTGCAGGCCACAATCAAAGATGTAGTTCTCTAAAAGGCGAAGAATTCCCTGGACGCCCTGCGACGAGAGGTCCAAAAGACGGAACATCCGATTCAGGTCTGCAATAGGGCACAGTGGCAGAGCAGAGAACAGTAAAAAATAGATGTGCAATGATGTACAAGAGAGCGCATTCACTGACCACGCTAATGCGCACCATGGCAACACATCAACGCAAACAGAGCCACGGCAAAGCAAAGATTCACGCCGCACACCTAACGTAACTAATTAACAGCTACTCACGGACGACATCCGAATTACCCAGCGTCACCGGGAACTCAGCCTCGATGAACTCCCGCACACGGTCCACCAAACAGCTCACAAGACAGTGACGTAGCTGTAAGGAAAGTAAACACCAGCACAAACAGAAATCAATCCGACATTCAAACCATGGGGAAGTCCCATCCAAACACTCATGTTCTTCTCTTTGGATACAGGGCGACGAGAGGTGAAGATTGCAGACAACCGGAGTGAAATTGGACAATGGGAGGGCACCGGGATGTGGGAGATACGATTTTTCTTTAATCGTAAACACCCACTGGGATTGCTATCTTTATTTCGATGACATATATCACGAGTACATAACCCCCAGAGTGTGCAACTCCCACATACCCTGCTGTCCCGACAGAATTTCAAGTTGACGTCATTAATTATGATGCAATGCTCCTTGCACCAGTGATTTACAACATGTGTACGGGTGCCAACGCATCACACGTTTTTCCTTGCAATAATTTGTACAGGATCAGATAGGCTTTGGTTCATCACAGGCTCCGGATTCGTCTGATAATCCGTGTACAGTGCGCATTGCATCATAAAAATGACGTCAACTTGAAATTCTGTCAGGACAGCACCCATAGTCGAGTTGCACACTCTGGGGGGTTATGTACTCTTGCGTATATTATACACACTCGGAGGGAGTTGTGGTTGCTCGTGAGAGTGCTCAATACACCAAGGTGCAGAGCCTAGTACACACATTATACACATGTAGTTTTACTCAATCTCCTGACAGCTAGCTGTTCTCCACCTCATCAGGTCTCCTCACTTTTATATATTTTATACGTAGTTTTAGGTGGTCTAGCGGGTGACATCTGGACTGTATTTCTCCTGAACACCAATACACGTGATACACACAGAAGAAGCAGAGTGCAGTAGGTGCGGCAGACCTGTTGGTAACATGTTGTCCTTTTCTCTTCGAAACTGAGATCTAAATGCTACCCTGTGGGTATAGGCACAGGTACTCGTAACTCGGAGGCCTTAACTAGACAGGCACGAGATGACAACACAAAGTGGACAGTTTCGCAAACGACACAGCACCCACGCACCAGCCATCGCTAGACAAAGTGCACCCACGTATGCGCCCGGACCCAGAGCATCATGCATAGGCTATTTAAGACGCTGTGAAAGCAATACATTGTACTGTACTCGCGCGATTAGTGCCCCTGTGCCCCTGGGGCACTATTATTTCAATGTCCATCACAGATGGGGCGCTATTCAGGAGAGGGCACTCTTTTTTTCAATGCTGGCACATTTACGTCATTGAGCATAAAAACAAAGAGGGCAAAGAAAACACAGAGCCTAAAGTGTACTGTAAACTATCATGACTCAACAGAAAGGGCAACAAGAACTGCGATTTTGATCCTGAAACCACCATTTCAATGGCATGGACAAGAACATTACCAAAAGAACACCAAACTAAGCACATGCGCGTGGTTATAAGACCGAGGGGGGGGGGGGGAGGGGCACAATTCAAGAGAGGGCTTTATTTTTTCACTGGCTCTTAGAGACTGGGGCAGTATTCGAGATCGGGCACTATTCAAGAGAGGGCTCTAATCGCGCGAGTACGGTGTACATGTTCAGCTAACAAACCCTGTCAGTAGAGTTGCTGGTGCTTCTCGTTTCCAGGTAGCGAAGTCCACGGGCCATCTCTTCTTCAAACTTCTCAGTAGCCTGTGTCAAACGTGCAGTGAAAACAATCATCAGAGAAGCGCAGCATGTCAGAGAAGCGCAGCATGTCAGGTGGATTTTGCCCCACCAATCGTGAGTCAGGCACACAACAATGTGTTCCATCAAGGCAAAGTTGAGATGAGTTGCTGAAGACCTAAACCAACCAATGCATAGTCTGACCCAATCAGCAGCTTAACCAGCCAGTGCATTGTCCGACCCAATCAGCAGCTTAACCAGCCAATGCACTGTCCGACCCAATCAGCAGCTTACGCGCTGAGGCCGTGCAGGCTACTGTTCTGCCCTCTATGCCGACTGGAGTCACCCCCGACACTAGAGATTTGATAAGCATACACATGCAGCAGTATGAAAGAGACTTGGAAGTGCAGCTGCTGCAATACAAGTTAGGACTGGATGCTAGCAGCACACACCGGCCCCTCTGCCAGCACAGCGAACACGTGCTCGCCCACCTAACGCACACTTACATAGACAAGGTAACTGTAGATGCCATTGGCAACTTCAAAGTCCTGGGCCCGGTGCTCATAGTAGGAACGCGTCTCGTTGATGTATGTGTCCTCAAAGTGGCTGATGTAGACACTTAGCGTGCCAGAATCGTCAGTCATCAGCACTGGAGATACCATAACAGGTGTGCAAACATTAGCAAAAACAACAGATATCAGTACTGCAGATACAACAGGTGCAACCATCAGCAAAGACAAGCACTTGGAAGAGCACAAATGAAGCACAGATACTATCTTTTTACTGTAAACACTGTTTCGAATACAGCCAAGTGTACTGCGAGAACGCCCCCCCCCCCCCCCACCCTGATTTTACCGTCAGGGAAAGGAAAATCGTTTGGCAGAGTGCAACTAAGTTTGTAACATGTGATAACCTTAGTGTGCTTGTAGACAGTAGGTCACGCTTAGCATGTTGTGTGGAGCTCGCACCTGCTCAAAGGTAAACTGGGACCGGATTGACTGCACAAGGTGCAATATGTGTACAAGATACGTGCGATACGAACTACGGAAACAAACCACCACAACACATCCACGAAAGTAACGTTACGAGGTGGTGGGGCGCTAACCCAGTACTTTACGGTACATACATTCACATCACACACACACACACACACACACACACACACACACACACACACACACACACACACACACACACACAGCCTGAGAGGAAGATAGATAGAAAATGGAAGGCCACAGAGGATCGCTGAACAAACACTAGCTACGAACTGAGGTGCTGTCGAGGTGTTTGTCGCGCTGGAAACGGAGCGTCTCTGCAAGTTTGTATCCCTGGTAATGTTTGTACCTGGAGAGCATTAAAACGGTGCTCTTTAGGCACAATCTTCCTCAGCCTACTCAAGCTCAACTAATGAGAGGTGAATTCCCCGAAACACTGCGTATTGAGCAGGGAGTGGTGCTTTCTTGCAGGTTTGTCGAGTGGACGTCCGGCAATCTTCTCGTCTGCTCCAGACGGCAGTCATGAGTCAGTCAAGTGTCAGTCAGTCGGCAGGAAGCGCGAGCTCCCACGTTTGGAGCAGCCAGCTTCTTCTGTACTTGCTACAAAGGCATGGAAATGCATTCAAATGGCACCAATCAGTTTGGGGAAAAATGCACCATGAAGACGAGTATGCAGATCTCAAAAACAAATCTAGGAACGCAAGGGTGTAAGGGGCCGTCCGGGGTTACCAATAGTTTTTGCAAAACGAAAAGCTTTAGTATTTTTCAGCACCCACCCACCCACCTACCTTTTCTGCAGGTAAAACGAATTCCAATAAAATATTGATGTCAATTTTCGACACCCAGAAGTAACTGGGCATTCTCCATCTGCATTCAATAATTATTTTCAAAACGAAACTCCTTCAAACCCACCCACCCCCAAACGAAAACTTTTCGTTTTGAAAATACTATTGGTAACCTTGGACCAGGCAGCACTGATTACATTCGACAGAAAAGAGCGCAGTGTAAGGAACAAGCGTACTCAACAGCACACAAAAGACACATGCGCTATCAGCCAATACCAACAGAGAAACACACACACACACACACTGCAACATCGTAAGCCCGAAGAAAAAAACTTACCAAACGATTCGCGTACAGCGATGACAAGAGATCCTTCGATCACTTCGCCACCTCTCTCAAGAGTAATCAACTTCATGGCACTGGAGAGCAACCGGGAACAAACTGACTTGAACACTCCCACATTCCAGGCGAACAACATCTTCTGTAATCACAAAGAAATAGGAGCATACACACACACACACACACACACACACACACACACACACACACACACACACACACACACACGTGCACACACACACACACACACATACACACATATATACACACGCACACATATATACACACGCACACACACATGTACACACACACACACGGGCACACACACACATGCGCACACATACATACACACACGCACACACTCGCGCGCGCGCACACACACACACACACACACACACACACACACACACGCAAACATGCAAACATGCACAAATATACACTGACTGAACTGTAAATACCAATGGTCAGACAACCAATGTTGTGAATGGCTAGAAAAACGGCCCCGGGGCAGCCCATAAAATAGAGCACAAGTAGCAAAGCAAACATGTACAGTATGTGCTCAATTGTCAGCTGCAATCGATTATAAGTCATTCATAAGGTTAACGGAAAGTTGCAAACGGGAAAAGTCTGAAGAAAAAATTGACTGCTACGACCAGGACTCGAACCAGGGACCAGTGATGCTCTACCACTACACTAAGCTGTGGTGTACTAGTAGTCGTCAATACGCAGTCATTGAGATCTTGAGAGTAACAACAGAGTGATGCGTACCCTCTGCAGGAGCAGTGTTTTATCGTTCTGAGGTGCTGCTGCCGCGTGCACCGGCACCGGCGCCTGGGAGTTGTTGCGGACCAGGATGTGGCCAGTGTCCTTGTGGTGGAGAGCGGGCTCGATCGGTCGGAATGGCTGCGGCAGGTAGAATGACTGCGCGCGGTAGCGCTCCCATTCCCTTCTGTACACCTTGAGCAATGCCGTCTCCTCCATTTCATTTTGCAGTCGCTGAGAGAAAGCAGGTCAAACAGGCGACAGCAAAGGACACAGTGGAATAGGGCAAATAGAACCGATAAACTCTGACTCCAAAAAAGAGGCAGTACATTCAATTACATGCACATACATACCTGCCAAGCTTTGCAAATGTGACATCAGGACAAAGACATACATACCTAGGTATGAAAATGTGTACAAATGTAGCTGTGAGGTATACGACAAATGCACTTTCGGGTGCCTATTACCACCCCTATTACCACCCCTATTACCACCCTCGATATCGGGGCGGTCCCGGCCAAACCGGGACGGTTGCCTGGTATGCACACATAATCCTAGTAGTATTATTCTACCACTACAAAGTACACTCCAATTATTGCATGAAGATAGTTGGTGGAAGCTGAGTGCTGGTCACAGGCAACACGGATGCTGCAAAGGGGATTTCGGCTTTTTGGCCTCTGGTTGGTGGATCTGATCTATCCTCCCCCGCCGTTTAGGAGCCGCATCTGACATCTGATCATGGGGTGGTGGTGTCCCACGGAAGCGGAAGGGTGGGTCTTGACCCGCCCTGTACACGAACCCGTAATATCTTCTTTTTTCTCTATTTTATATTTAGTACCGGTCATCTAGTGGATGTATCCTCTCGTCCACTCTATGACTGGGATAACCACATGTTTGCCACATACAGAAGGAGAGATAGAGACGGCTTCTTGACTTAACATCTAACATTACAATCATATACATGCCTGAGTAAGCGTCAACTCTACAAAATCAACAGCCACACAACACACATTTCAAATTAGGCTAGGTCATGATCCAGCCGCAGCACGCCAAGAAGTTGCAACTACAGTCGTTGCCAAAGAAATCCAACCCACGTGCCGAAAGCAGCGCCAAGGCTCATGCAACCCTCGGATCAGTTTTTGGAACATGCATGATGTAATTGAACTGGAAACGCGGCACTACTTTTGACTCGCTGGTCGGATTTCTTTGGCCACGACTGTACTAGTAGGCAAGTACATGTACTGTAAAAGCCATATATATAACAAAGTGCTAATTCTAACAAGTTGACGAGGAGAAATCTGTCGTTAAAGTAGAAATCGTTATACAGAAATCGATACATATTATTGTTCTATTGAGGGTTGAGAATGAGTGAGAATCGTTACCTTTGGTACACGTAAACCGGTCAATTTGGGGTAATCGTTATATATGCGCCTCGTTAGAATAATGGCTTTTACAGTAAGGCAAAGACAGGAGAAGAGTTCGCGCATTGGGACCAGCAGACCTGATGAGAACTGGCCACAAAAAGTGACTTTCAAAGGTGTCCACTGTGCCAAAGTCAAGACACGAGTACACGCAACAAGCATGTCACAGGCCTGGGAACAGGCCACTGTTCTAATAGATGATAATTATGCCAAATAACGTGCAACAAGACTTGCGAGGGCATTGCACACAGGTTGCATACAAACCATACTACATGTACAATGTGTGAGGTATACGGTAAGCCCTGAGCTCTGCACGAGCACACGTCACAGGTAACCGTACAACTTCGAACGTTGTATGCAACTACTCTGCCCTCCCAAGTCTAGTTGCACGTTACTCGGCATATCATCTATTCAGGTGCCACTTCGGATAGGCTCTATTAGAACAATGAATGCCTGTGGTGGTCCGATGCAGCAATGCAATACTGAGCACAAGTCTGCAATGCACTTGCTACACAGAGCAGAGGACATAGTCAGTACGCGGCTTACATTGACAACACCCAGTACATGCGCCTCGATCTCCTCCATTATGGCACGAAGCACACTCTCAGCACCATTCTCCTCCCAACTGATGACTTGGTGAACATCACTGTCGATAACCAAACGGAAAACGCAACGAAGAAAAACAATGTTAGCAAATGTCAGAAAGCAAACAAACAAAAACACCAAGCCTCGGATGTCAAAGAAGTATTTTTTCAGGCCATTCAACGAAAATGCAGTCAATCGTCACTAACAGAGGCCGTCGAGGGTTCGTAAAAGCACACTTGTCCGGGGTGAAGTCCGGGTACCGGGTACGTGGAGCTAGGTGTCAGGGTGTAGAATGTCTCAGTCAGTACTCTGTCAGTTTTGTGCCTAGTTGTTTCACTTTCTGACTGTATAGTATCTAGTTACAGTGGTGGACAGTTACTCTTAACTTGTATCCATATGTCCCTTTCCTTTTTAGGCCATCATTTTTTATATCTATGTTTCGCGTCGTCCGCACGCATACGTTTTGCCTTTTTTCGGAAAATAAAATAAAAAAATCGAACATGCACAGTGAGTGTACGATTGTGCGAATCATCAGTGTGGACTGGTTGCATACAGCGAAGCTGGGATTCAGAAATGGCCTCGAGGCCAGCGTTGGTAAATCGTTTGTTCGGCATCTGCGAGCAGTATTCTATGAGCTTACACCAGACCGCATCGATTGCCTCAAGCTGAGAGGATGCGTCGTTCCGGACCTCTTTGCACCGCTGCTGAAGTCTGAGTACAATAATCCAGCGAAGCATGGGCACCAACGGTTGCCTCCTCTGTCCAAAGTGAATATTTACTCATGCTGATAACCCAGATGTTGTGCTTGGATGTAGGATTTTTCTTTCGAATGTACATCATGCACGAGCTATTGTGCTATGTACAGTTCTAGCTATACACCTCTGATGAGCCTTTTTTATTATTTTGCAATTTTTTATTTCTTTCCACCTCTCGCATATGATTCTGGAAGTTGAGCTGACGCGAAACATAGATATAAAAAATGATGGCCTTACATAATAATAAAAGGGAGCCCTTACGAGAACAATCCTTGCCATTCATCCCTTGTTACTGCATGCTGCTCAAGAAGTTTTTGCACGATTAGCCTCCACTCTGGCCACCTCTCCTCGAAAGGAGCTGCCTTCTTCAGGAGAGACATGTTCCGCGTGGACAGAACGAAATACTTGTCTACGATAACGGTGATGTACGTAGAGTCTAGCAGTCTATTGTACTCTTGAACTCTTGAATAGTACTTATCAGCAGTAATACTACTATTGCCTAGCGTTGTACCAATGGTGATTGGCTGGGAAAAGGGACACACTCTCTCAAGACAACAATAGCTAGCTGAAATATACGGGACGGATGGAGAATCAGTTTGGTTCGTCTCAAGCTACTTCACAGTCGATCATGAATATAGCCTTATAGGGTTCTGGACAAAAATTGTTGCTGCTATGCTGCCAAAGATCAAGATTACAAGAAGTATTTTTGAAGTGGAGTGTTTATCTACTCACATAATAATGCATGGAGACATGTCATTGTAAGCTTGGTGGGTGACATGACTGACATCACAGATAAAACATCTTACACCTTTATGACATCATTCTAGTGGGACGTCACGTCACGTCACGTCACGTCGCCGCGCCGTTGCATGATTCCGGTCACCCTGGTTACACCCTGGATTGTCCAGAAATCGGCTCTGCGCCGAGAAAAAGTATCGTGTTGACCACAATCCAAGGTCTAAACCCCAAAATTATGAGTCCATGGTGATGAAATCATGGGAAATGACGCATTGTGAAGCTTCTTTTTTTTAGCTACTGTACTAGTCTGTAGCTGGACTCGGATCAGTCGAGATAAAGACTACTGTTGTTGAGTTGAGATTGAGAACGAACTCAAAATCATACTGTGAAGTGTGAGTGGATGCCTTGAAGGAACTCACTGAAGTGATACCAGATACATTTGGGGGGTGAATGGGTTTGGGGTTGTTTTCATTCTGTCATCGAGTTTTTCGAGAAAAGAGAGCTTGGTCAAAGTTGTCGGCTTGCCCGATCGTTGCAGTTATGACTATACCCTGTTCGTGCTTGGAGAGATCTGACTCAGTGTAAAGCATGGCGGTAAGTAGGGGAGTCACGCCGTTGAGTTCTCACAATGCCAATGGGTCCAATTCCAATCCAATCTCCGTCACTCCTTTCGTCCAGGCGAGAAGCGAAGTCCCCCAGCTTCCGCGGTACTTCATCCAGCGCGACTACTCCATGGGAACTGTTGTACAATTTGACAAGAATCCCCCACCCGAGCTATCTGGCAAGGTACGTATAATTGAAACAGTACACTCATGTAGCTTTATTTCCCATTGATTTACAATGTATTTCTGAAATGGACAGTCGGCCGGCTGACTGTTTGTCACAGTTTGACCGACTACATATGAATTAATCAAATAATTCTGTGGCACTTACATGTAGTTCTAAATATGTCGCCTGTTTTTGATGTAGGTGTCACAAGAGGCCCAACACGTACTTAGTGACACTGTGGAACATATCAACACGATCTTCGAGGAGGCTGAGGCACTGGATGGTGCTGCATATTTGGAAGGCTGTTTGGCTTGTCTCACGCTTTGTACCTACTATGTTTGGCCGTGTGTGCGAACGAAATATGAGAAGGTGAGTCGGCGAGGGCCCGTTCACACATGTTTTATGAGACGCAATAGATAGTATTGTCCAAGGAGGTTGCGATGTTCCGTTCGTCCTATATTCTCAATTGAGCATGTACATTCTTCCCCGAATCACGACGTGTTTGTACCCTACCTGACACCCCACCTATATGCACTTCTAAATACGAAATGGCATCGCTTTTGGAGCCCGTTCGAGAGCGCTTTGCCGTAGCGTTCACGGACCAAGACCGTTCAAGTCAGTCACCCTCGACAACATGTTCAGTTTACTGTAGCCCGGAGGTGGCAGCGGCAGTTAAAGGGGTGAGACGGTCGCGTGTGCTGCATGCATGTACAGTCAACTTCGCTAATAACGACTGCGGATATAACGACAATTCGCGAATAACGACAGAATGTCCATGCCCAGAGCAAAGTCCCATCCCACTGTAATACATATAATGAGACTTCGGGTATAACGACACTTCGCGAATAACGACACCTTTTTGGTGCCCCGCCGAGTGTCGTTATAAGCGAAGTTGACTGTACTTGATGTTGGGCTGCCACCACCGTGAGCTTATGGCACAGGTATGTACACAATTTGAGCAAAGTGTGGGTGCGTTGGAAGGAGTTTACCTGAAGACTGGCAGAAATAGAAAGCACAGTGAAACATTTCAGTACATGCACTGTACATGACTACAATGTACATGTATAATGCACCTCCAGAGGGCTTAAAGTCAGTACTTTATAAGAGTGTGCTATTGTTGCCCGATGATTGCGTAAGCATGAAACTCAGAGTAGCTGCATACTAGCCTTGCCCTTGATGTTCTGTATAAGTATGCCATAAAACTACATGTATACGCTATATCCGAGGTAAAGTGACTGGAATGGGTACCCAGAGTCCTCTACGAATACTTTAGACAATCTGATGCAAAGAGAAAGTGTGTTACAGTATATCCAGTATACGTTAATCGTTATTATACTGAGTCAAGGTTCACTGTTGAGTATAAGCTACAGTCGACCTACCCTTATAACGATAACCTCTATAACGATATTTTTCTGCCAAACCAAATCACTCCATTGACTTGTGTATACAATGCCTTACCTCTATAACAATATTGCTACAACGATATTACCCCTATAACAATATAAAATGGGCTGACCAATTGATATTTTCCATTTTATAACAATATCTAGCAGGGAATATGTAGAGCCCACTATCCAGGTAGGGCAAGCTTCACTTGATAAGTCGCTGGGACATGACGAAATGCAATGGGGGCACCAGTGGGCACCTTGCTGTGTACATAATGTGCATGTAAAATGATGTATGTCAGTTTTGTATGCTATGAAGAGTGTAAAAAATGAACGAAATCGGTGCATTATGACGTATGTGTATGAAATGAACCAGTTACCCCTATAACGATATTACCCTTATAGCAATATTTCTTGGTCTGACGCAAATATCGTTATAAGGATAGGTCGACTGTATCAGGTGCTGAGTTGAAAAGCAGGAAGACTTTCTCTGATTTCCTGCACTTGGCCTTGGCGTGGCAACTGAGACCAGAATAGATACACAATGGTGATTTCTGCCGCATCTTGCTGATTTGCATGACGCCGCAACACGCGAGCTCAGTCATGTCAGGGCAGCTTGGCTGGGTCAAGACCATTGTGGAAAACTATTATGAGTGTCACTCCAGTCACAGCCTCACAGTGGGCTAGCAGCCTTCCGATATTTGAACACATAACCATCTCCACGACCTAGCATTGCACAGTGCGATGTGAACCCGCAGAAAGTAAATCTCTGCCGCATTGTCTCTAGAGTTGGGAGCAACTTTCACTGGATGCATGTACTTAGTTATCCACTCTCAGTCTCTGAGTCTCTCTGTACTTGTTTGTATTGCACTAGCCAGGACCAGCGGTATGTGTCATTGTGATTAGAGCTGCATTTTTGCTGTTTTTCTTTTCTTTTTTTCTCTCTGTCTTGTTGTTCAGGCTATGCACAACCTAGCCGTGTATATCGAGAATCAAAACTCTACCGTTCTTCGGCAGCATGGCCTGCGGCTGGTGCACCCAATGGAGAGAGGCTTACGAGTTGTATCCTGCTGGTTGCTGGCCTGTGTGTCTTGGGTTGTGTGATGTCTAACAGTGGGTGTGTGTGTGTGAATCGAAGGAACTGTTGTAGTAATGGTCCCTTTCAGTGATCCAGGTTACAACCGGGGCCAGTCGGGGCTGCTTGAAAGACAGCTCGATGCACCTGAGTGCAGAACGGTATTATCATTCTCTGGAAATATTTGGTAGCATATATGTATAATGATAAATGTAGAAAAGAAAAATTGCCGCCACAGGTTACCTCCTTCTCCACATCACTAGCCATCCAGTCTTCGTGTGATCGCGAAATGGCAGCCTTGAAGGGTATGTTCCAGGAGACGTCTGGCGCGTGAGCATACTTTGTGCAGCCACCGGGAACAACAGCACTGTGGATCTTTAGCTCTGACATGACGTCCTTGGTGTCCTGCGATATGTGACATCTGAACGAATCCCACGCGAGCAGACGTTTGCGAATGACAAGGGACCAAGCACATGACGCAGGAAATCCTCAGTCAAGGCATGAGGTACAAGACAAACTTGACTTTGGCACTTTGGGTTCAACGAATACAGCCTACTGTCTCCTGAATTTGTTAATCTGAGTTGTCCAGGTTAGGCTATGAGAGTTGAGTGGTGTGTGCCTGAAAGTAATAGCTGCACATGTAAAGAGAAAGAGTTAATATTCCACTGTTGGAGAGTACTTTAGACACCCGACAGCCCTGCGACAGACGCCCAGCCACTCCGAATTGATTGAGTACTGCCCGCAAGTTTTCTCTTTGTCCTTGCTTGTGCCCGATTCTTTTTCTGACAGCTACAATGCACCATCCAGCATGGTATGCTACTGGTGCATCCTCCGGTGTATCATGTCGTTCTTGTCGTTCTTTTGTGATGATTTCCAGGGTAGGTATCCCTTAGCCTCTCCCAGCACTCTTCTTAGAATGAGAGTTATTTCAAGAATCAATCTCTAGTGAAAAACAGTCAAGTTTTTCTGCGCCCCCTTCATCCCCAGGAGTTTTAGTAGGAACTGAGCGGGGTTCTCAACCATTGTCTTTGCTTGGATTGTAGAAGCAATCGGGCCAGCTGAGAAGTGTTTTTTAAAAGTCTCCCTCTTCTCTCCCCCGCCCATCCATCAGCATCTGCTCGGTTTCCTCAGGTCAGCCATCTCTGTTCGCTAGTGATTTGCGCTCTTTGTTCTCGCTTCTCTTCTGCTCTCACCTCGCGTCGTGCTCCTTCTGTGCCACCTGCCTCGCTTCATACTCACATCTATCCCTATACACTCAAACACCTCTTATCCGGACGCCTCAGATACGGGCACGTCTCTCTACCGGGCACCTTCAGCTAGAGTTCCTATAGCACAAATGCGTCGAATTTGGGTTTTTTGAACTTTTTTCCGTATGTGGAAGTGCTTATGTTTCACTGCCAACCTATGTAATCCCCACATTTTTATCAATGGGTTCCTTCTGTATCCTCAACATGTGCCATACGTGCAAAATAAACTTCTTCAAAAAATGTTATCATACATGTACATGTACATGGTAGATGAGTTATTCTGAGATACGGGCAAATCTGAGATACGGGCAGTGCCCGGTCCCAAGGTGCCCGGATAAGAGACTTCCGAGTGTACTCCCTTCTCTCTCTCTCCCCTCTGTATGTCTGTCTTCCTGGGCTTGTTCTGGGTCATGATGGCTAACAACGACCCTTTCAAGGTAGATAGAATGGTGGAATGATGGATGATACACACACGCCGGCCGTATTTACCGAACAAAGCATGCTTGCCATTGCCAGTTTCTGTATTCTCTTCACCCAGGCCCGTCTGGGAAGTAACAACTGTTAAAAACTTGCTGCTTAGGTTCCACATCCCAACGCAATGAAACAGCAGCAAAAGCATTCATGTACGAGCGAGGTCAGCATTTTTTTTCCTTTCCTCTTGCGTAACCTCAATGCAATGAGACAGGCCTGCAGTAGCAAACAGGAGCAAAAGCATTTAATTCCCGTAGCTATGCAGAAGACGTTACTTCAGTAACGTCTGGCGCTAGCCAGGGTCCACACAGCTTTAATTTGGTGTTTGTTTGTGTGTTTGTTTGTTTGTGTCACGCCTGGCGCTATCCTGTATCTATCCCGTACCAGCAAAGACAGCTGGCCATAATATTTTTGTTTGTTTGTGCCATCGACATGCCTGGCGCTATCCCGTACCTGTCCCGTACCATCAAGAGTACGGTACCATCTAGAGAATGAGCATATATGCGAAGTGTATGGGGGGAATGCATTCAGTGCAGTAACATTACATTTTGTGTGGATTTGTGTGCGAGGCCGAGATCCCACTAGCAGGCTGGCTAGGCCGCCTGTCGACCAGCCCGGAAATCGCATGTAGGCCGATAGCATAATAATTATAACGTATATACAGTCATGTAGATGTATAGCAGGGAGTCATATTATGTAAACGACTCCCTGCTGTATGGGGAGATTTTCTGGAAAGAAATACGAAGTAGGGAGACGAGTAAATGCAATCAGAATGGATGTTAGTTGCCGTCAGTATAATAATAAGAAGAAGAAGAACGCCCGTGATCGGCAGAGTCAGCGCCGGTCCCAGGAAACGTCAGGACAGACATCCCGTCGACTCCAGAACGCCCGTCATCGGCAGAGTCAGCGCCGGTCCCATAGCTATGCAGAAGACGTTACTTGTACTTCAGTATCTCATTGAAACGTTTTTGCAAAACAATGATGTAGCTAATCAAAGGAAAAAGCATTTCCATCAGTTCTAACAACATGCACGATGAGCTAGGCAACAAAGCATAGCGCAGGGCCCTGAGCTTCCAAGCTCTCTCGTTAGAGGCCTTGAATTATTTTTGTCGAAATCCGTGGTTGACTATAAAAACCCTGCAATCGCCACGCAAAGTCGTCATTGGCTACCCCAGCCATGTGTTGCTTGGAATAAAACTAAAACTGCCGGGTTGGAAAGAGGGAATCAAAAAAAGCAAAAGCATTAAAAAAATATGTACGAGCTAGGTCAACAATTTTTTTCCTTTCCTCCTTCCCATTCACACTTCGCACCCGAATATCCGCAGCTTGAAATGCACTGCAGGTTGAAGGAGGTGAAAAAAATGAAATGCCAGAAAAATCCGATACCTCTGAATGATGATATGGTGAGATCTTCGGAGTACAGAGCAGATATGGATGTGTTTGTAGTTGTAGTTTGTTTGAGATTTCCTTGACCTGTCTATTCAATATCAGATTGAAGTTGTCCTACTACAAAGCTGAGAGTCTGTACATGAAGCAGCGGCTCATTTTCCTCCATCGGCCCCAGCAGTCGAGCAGGCAGCATCCGAACAAGTTGGTGGCCTTGATAACGGTTGCTGATTGATGTGCCACACTCTGCTAAGATGGACCAGCTCCCGTGAGTCATGTGTGCTTGTTCTTCCAGCAAGTATGCATGCATGTATGTGCACTGTCCCTGGCGTGCTGCACGTTATCCGCACTCAGGACACTAGTGCGTATGAGCTTCACTCCCCATTGCTGCTGCTGCTGCTGCTGCCGCCGCCTCGCTTTCACACTAGTACTAGATAAACCAGGGCCATCCCGTCCGAAAACCATAGTTCCATATTACCTGCCTTCACAAGAGACTATCATATTCACTTCTTCCGAGCATGCAATAGTACTGCATTTCTCTGCAACAGTCTCATCGTCGATATATTATGAGACTTAGCTAGCATGCATGCATGCATGGAACTAAGTTACTTGCATGTGCTGTGGTGGCGCTCATTGCAAAGTGCATCCTGAACGCCTCTTGATCATAATATAATCTGCCCCATTACATGTAGCGCGCGTACAGCAGGCTGGCGATGCTGCAAACTGTGCGTGCCTGTAGCTCGAAATCACTTTAGTTTAGTCTAGTCTCTGCTCTTTTTTAACCCTTTGTATTTTTTATGGCAGCTGACCCTAACCGGAGTGAGCTCCGTTCCCGTTGATCATCCTCACAATGCACTGTGATCGGTGGTCGAAGAAATTGTACAGTGAATACTTCTACTGACATTACTATACAACTCATGCCTCTCTCCCTTTTTCTGTTTTTTTTTTATCCATTTCCAGTTATTGTCAGTCTTTCGTTGTTCTCTCTATTGCTATTTTCCTCCCTGTTATGAAGTTTCTACTCGCCCGGTTTGTTTTCTATCTGCTTGTTGTACTCTTGTTTCTGTCTCCAACGGTGCCCTGTAAGACAGAATATCATGTCTTGGTTTGCTAAATCCAACTCCGCTTCTCATCTCTTGAAGGTGGCTGTGTGTGTGTGGTGTGTGTGTGTCCCATATGATGCAGTGGGGTTCAATTCCCGACGGTTATGGTCGCACACGTCTTTCTTCTCTTTCTCATTTTCCTAGCTCTTCTTTTCATTCTCCTGGGTGGTTACCAACAGCCAGTGTATGCCGGAGTATGTGGTGTGGTGGGTGGGTGTGTCGGAAAAGAAGAAAGAGTGAAAAAATGAAAAATTAATCGGTATTCACTGGCCAGAAAAAAGCCACTTCAATCAGCTGTGTGGTGGATACCAGGCTAAAATTAGTGGTGATCAATTTATCAGCCTTGGAAGCTGTTGAATGGTGTAATCCCAGCACTAGTTGCTATGTCTAACATAGCTGTTCACTATCATTGCTTCTGCGATGGGCAGGTCTGAGGGGTGTGTGTGGCCACGCAAGCGATGGCGGGATGTGGTTGTGGACGATTTCAACCACATTCATCCACCTGTCCCGGAGAGGGAATGGCTCGACACTGCACAGAACCGCTCGGTGTGGAGGGAGGTTATCCACCGTCGTCCTCAGCCTCGCGATGTCTCCGCCGAGCCAGAATATCGGTGTGCATGCGGGAAGACGTGTCACTGCCCGGCAATCTCAAACGCCACGAACCTTTCTGCCGGGTTTACCCCTAAATTAGTCTTTTCGCTATCAGTATCAATCATGCCTTCGGCAATGGGCAAGTTCAAGATGTGTGTGTGGGGGTATGTGGACACACGTGCCCATGATCAGCATATGTATTGGATGCACTTTAATACCCGTATTTTTGACGGCCGGCAGCTGTTTTTGCTGGCTGCGTGTACAATTCTGCTGGAACCGGATGATCAGATGGCAGGGCTTTTATGCAGTACCAAACATCATGTGGGGCCGCACACGACTACAAGTAGTATAAGCATGACTGTGTTTTTTTTCTTGTCTGTTCTTTTTCTAATTTCAAATGGTGAACGGTACTATTCGGCCAATAAAATGTAAAGAACTCTTCCTCTCCTCTCCTCCATGCGCTCTCACAGCCGACTCACTGCTACCCTCGGTAGCCATTACACACACCAACCAAGGAAGGGTTGCAGGTAGATACTGAAATTTCTCCTGACAGCTGTTTCGCCTTCATAAGGCTCATCAGAGAAGGTGATATTGAATACTGGATGATGATATCAGGTGGAGATGGTCAGATTTATACTACAAAACATGGGCGCAAGATTACGAGCAAAGTGTGAGAATGAGAAGTTACAATTCTCCAGCAACACAGTGCCAGGGGTTCCAAGAAAATGGCAGGTGAGAAATCCAATCACAAGCTGCTAACATTAATTTTTTTTTGTTCTTTTTCTGGCCGACAAGGCGACATTGGGTCGGCTATGGGAATGTGCAATAATAATTGACACGCGCTTGCTCTGCCGACAAGTACAGTAAATAGTGGATATAACGTGCCCCTTTGATTTTCGATAATTTATCACTATATCCGGTGCACTATAGCCATGATAGCCGATTTGCATGACACATAGCACATGACTGTGCATGAAATGATGCGTACATGCTGGAAAAAGCATGAACAGCAGCCACGTGTACATGTGGCTGCTTACAGCATACAGCCTTACAGGGAAGAATTTTCTCTCAATCACCATCACGTCTGCTGCCTGATGCATCCAGGCAACACTGGATCAGTTTGGAAGAAGTGAACTATATTGGAAGAACACTTGTTTTGTGATCATCACTCTTGATCAGTATATGCGATATTTTCCTGTGCATTTGATATGGTTTGCTTCCTGAAGCCCATCACAATAAGCGATATATCGGTATAGCCGATAATAGTGTGTATAGTGATATTTTAGCTGTATTTTTTGTGATTTGATTTTGATTTTGGCGAATTCTATCATTATAGCCGGTATATCGTTACACCCGGTCACTTTATAAACGATACTCACTGTACATCACAACAAGTGCTGTCATCTGTCGATCATGGTGTGCAGCATGCATGTGCATGGCACCAACAGTGTGCGCACGGCGTTTATGCCAAACGGAAAAAGTCTCGGTTTGTTACTTTGTTTCTGGTAAATCCGACAACCATAGTTATTATTTTTGGAACACTAAACAAAAACTTTTCTACATGACTATTGTGTGTGAGGTTTTCGAGCACACACAGGCATATGCTCTCTTTGGAACCATACTTTGAGTTAACCAAAACCAAAAAGCAAGGCAATAATTGAATTATTAACCGAAGCAATTATTAACCAAAAAGCAAGGCAATTATTATTTTTGTCACAAACATTTTTTGAAACGTGTAGCATCATGAGATTGCCACAATGACATTGACTGTGTGAGTCATGTGGCCAGGATCTGTGTGACTGGGGCCGGGGCCCGGCGCGGTAGTCGAAACATCGACTGTAAAAGGTCGGCGGGCCGTGCGCCGCCCCTTGCTTTTGGCCTTTACCATGCATGGGTTGGCCACGAGGGCGCCGCAACAAACCCCGTGATCGCCATCTTCTTCTGTGCATATGTCACTGTGTGTAGATGCACTGTTTCTGCCGCCGGTACGTGCGCTCAAGACTGAGTCAGTGCAGTGCCAGACTGGAGTGGGTCATCGGGTCCAGATCGTATTTTTTCTAGTGCTCTTTTAGTGCTCTTTTTCAGTCTTCAGGACAGTTCTCAGCTAGCGGAGAGAAGAGCAAATATCGCTGCCATGGCCTCGACTCGCTTCCTCGCCGCCCTCCTGTGCTTGGGCGCATTTGTTTGCGCAAGAGGTAAGTGCTAGGTCCATAGCGGTTTTGTTTCTTGGTGCGTCAGCAGCGGGAATGTTCGCATGTGCGCTCGTTCATCTTCTTGTCACAATGTCAAGCGCCTTCGAAACTTTAGGTCGTACACATGGTGCGCTAGAACCTATTAAATTTTGTAGATGTATTGCATCGAACCACTAAGGGAGAACGGTCGCGCATTTCAAGTCGAATACTATCGAGACACCGCCTGGTAGTTCTCGTTATCCGGTGGATGGTGAGGGAAGGCGATAATGCTGTTGCTAGTGCCCATGATACGTACAATTTTTTTTGGAAAGCTTGAGGACTGGACTGTACGTGCAGAAGCCAGTTCACCTTCGAATACGCAGCCGTTTGTTTTCCTTGTATTTATCGAAGTATTCTGCTGGAAGCGAAGGGCCTTTGTTTGGAATGAAAGACGCGTCCGTCATTGCCCTATTGGGCATGGGCGAGACGGTGTGCCATGTGGTTATGTGCAATAGCCGGTGATTGTTTGCTATCGGGCACCCACGAATCGGTCACTCAGTGAAGTCACTGGACGTGACCAGTGACTCACTCTGAGAGAGTCACGTGATTCTCACAGTTGCGAAGGAATATTATTATTGATCGTAACATGATTGTCTGAATGGTGTAAGTACTTTTGTTAACACTTATGTCTACCTTTTCAAGGGGCTAGGCCAGACTTTGCTTTGGGTCAATTCTATAGAATTATCTTTGCACGAGGAAGAATTGTTGCAAAGTGATTAACGTTTCTATTGCTGGCGTGTATAAGAGTTCGCACACACTCTTATAGTGATGTGGCAGACCTCAAAGGACAAGCTTTGTAGCAATGTGTTCTATGAAAGAGTACATTCCCCCTGCTCACTCTGCTGCTAAGGTATATGCTGTAGCAAGCGTTCATGTGGTGCCAAACCGCTACTAGCAAGGGCCCCTAACCAAGGCTAACGTTATTATGGTTACGATCTGGTTTCAATGGGCCAGCTGCGCTGCACGCTACCTTCGTCACACCGTGCGGCTTCACCTATGCACTGCGGAAAATCAAACAACAGGCTAGTCCTGTGGTTTGAAACCAACTTTCGTACAGAGCGGATATTCAAGCGCCAAAGGCAAAGGTCGCTTCAGCATTCAACAACCAATCAAGCGAAGAACGGTTGTGCAGGCACAAGAGATTATAGGTTCGAATCCATGCGAGCATGGTGCAAGCAAGGTTCACAATGAAGGCATCATGTCGCGCACTGACCCCTAATCACACTTGTACACGGGTTGTGCATGTTTGTTACGAGCATGTACATCAGTGTATGTACTGCTCTATGAACGGTGGTGGTCAGTTGGTTCACAGTTTGAACTGCTACTGATTCCGGCTGCCAGATACATTCCCCATGGACGGCCTGCTGGTATGTTGCCTGTCAACATGTAGCCTGGATACCGTATGGCGCAAATGCGCTAGAGTTGCTATGGCTGGATGCGTAAGCAGTGGCCTCTGGGGTTGTAAGGCTGGCCACAGCCAACACTGGTGATGGTCCGGCAGCATAATGTGCATCTTTGCAAGCCAACTGCGCTTGGAATAGCATCAGGTTCACAGCCCAGCAAAGTAGCAGACTTGACTTCGGGCTGTTCTCTTCAGAGGAAAGCCTCGGCACAGATAAACTGAACTTGATAAAACGTATAAATAGAGCGCAAGCGTCCAACCAGCCACTTGTGGCCTCACCTGCCGGCAAAAATGGCTCCCGTGAGTAGGATATTGATTTATTTAGCCTGATATGATACGTTGCGGTGCTTTGTTTTGCATAGCTAAGCCTACTACAGTCCATTCATCGAAAACTGGCCCGCTGGCTTTTGAAAGTCGGATTTGGGCCGAATTGAGGATCAAAAACCCACTTTAAATCTCAAAAATTTGGGTTTTGGATCTGCTTCTCCGTACATTTCGCCATGGCATACCTGTCCTAATTTGGTAAAACCTGGCTGAATTTCTATTTCCCTGTTCTTGGACTTTTCTGGCCTCAAATGTGGCAAGGAGTAATTGCACGGGTCACACAATGCAGGATGTACGTAGAGGATATAACCCGAGTCAGAGGGTTATACCGGCTGAATATAAATCCCGACTGCGATAGCAGGAGGGATTTATATGAGGGTACGGTATAACCCGACTACGAGGGTCATATCCTACTTATGCCAGGTACCCCTACGCATTTCCAGAACAACGAACCTATTTGGAGATCTCCTACATCATGCAGTACATGAACATCTTCTGATGGTTATCAGTTGTCAATTGAAAGAATGGCCGAGCAAGGTCAGAAGGAGATTCCTCCGTGGATGTTTGGCATAAGATTTCCTTTCAGTTCCAGTGCATATTGTAGCATCTTCATGATCTTGTCTTGAGTCGTGAGCGGTGCGGAAGTCGACTGAATTGCTGCGGTGCTGGAGTTTGTCGTTGAATCAAACTACCGCCACTAGTTAGATTACAGCTTGGACTCTTTGGGAGTAAGTGTTACTATAATTATGGTACAGTGCTGATTTTCACATGCGGCATCTCATAATCAGTTTGCAAGTAGATGCATTTGCATACACTGTTTTGTATCACATTTCAATCCAATCTATTGTAGCCTTTTCCAATCGGGTTGAAGTACATGTACACTGGTATTATAAACTTATTTATGAAGGAGACAGTCCGTTGATGATCTTCAACTCTTCGAAGTACAATGTACATTGCTGACCCATTCGGGATACTTCGTGGTTATTCGACGTTCTTTATCCTCAGATTCAGTATAACAGAATACTCTGTAGACGAATTCCACGTCATTCTTCTTTTCCATTGTGTACTGTTCCTCGTCAGTGTGCCGTTCTGTGTGGAGTGTACACGCGCATGTGGTGTCCGTTGTGTCTGTTTATGTATGGTCCGTGCGCTGGAGTACTGCCGCCGTACAAGTTCACTGCCTTTCAGGCAGTGAACTTGTACGGTGGCAGTGCCCTAGCGTACGTACCGTGCACCGGGATTTATATTCTATATAAATCCCGCGCGGGATTTATACTGGCCAATATAACCATGGCTAGACGAGCGCTGATTGGCTGAAAACAGGCCCTCCGTACCGTACCATGGTATAATGTTGTTTTCACGATATCTACAACTATGTGAGAGAGACACCAAAAAGTTAGGGCGCCAGTTTCCAATGAATGGACTGTAACCATGATTTGCTGTGCATGTGCTGGTGTATGTGCATCATGTGTGTGTGTATATCGTACATGGTGTGTGTATATGTGTTTGTGCATATCGTGGTGTGTGTGTGTGTATATGGTGGTGTGTGTGTATATGGTGGTGGTGTGTGTATATGGTGGTGGTGGTGTGTGTGTGTATATGGTGGTGTGTGTGTATATGTGTGTGTGTGCGTGTGTGGGTGCGTGTGCATGTGTGTGTGTGCTCAGTGTACAGTGCACAGGCACCGTACTATGTGCTGGACGCCGACGGCAAAGCGTGTTTACTGCTCAATGTCGACGTATCGTTTTCCGCCGTCAACACTACCAAGGGGGTAAGTGCTGTACATGATGTGACCAAGAATTATGTAACTCCCAAGAGTGTGCAACTACCTGTACAGCCCATATCCAGTGTTGCGACGGTAAAACTTCACATCACGTGACATGGTTCAACAGGTTGTTGTCGTTGCCGTTGTTGTGATTGTTGTTGAAGTTGAAGTTGCGTCAGAGAGTTGAACCCAAAGCAGGGTTTCTGTACAACCCTGGATCAATCGTGCACAGGGCACGAATAATGTGTACGGGTTTGTCGCATAATGTGTGACGCCCTGCCGTCACAGACCCCACGGACCCCATAGACCCCACGGACCCCATAGACCAGAGAGTTGCACACCGTTCGGGGATATGTATTTACTCAAACGAACCTCGTGCGAATCGGCTAAGAATGTCTCCTTGTTTGTTGCGTGTGTGCAAGTTCTACTTACTACTGTCCGTCTTGCAGTTTCATCCTCTTTCACCTTCGCTTTGCCGCTGCCTTCTTTGTTGTTCAGCCACTCTCCCCGTTTTCTTTTCTGCTATTGAGTACAATCATGTACCGTAGGCGTACATACAAATGTAGCGATGAATTTCTCACCTCCATACACCCTGGACCTGCTTCTGGGCATGCTTGTCTGTCGGGCATTTTGCCAGACCTCTTGTCGTGGGATATGGCGGAATTCCAGCGGAATAACAATGAAGATAATGTATTAAAAATACTGTCGCTGTGGAGTGTGGACGTACAATTGGAATGGATGTGCTCAGCGCTGCCTAGACATGTGGAGTGTGGACGTACAATTGGAATGGATGTGCTCAGCGCTGCCTAGACATGTGGAGTTTGTAAATGTGCAATAGCGACGGCAACTTCACTATATTATTTATTTGTGTGTATGTTCTATGTTGTGTGTATGTTCTATGCCACTCTAGATGCTGAAAGGCACGGTGAAGCCAGCAGCACGTGAGATCGATGGCTCTTGCGCAGGAGGTAGTGCAACAGCAACACTCAGCGTTACCAATATCACCCACCTGTCCATGGCCAATGTCACTTTTGGGTTTGAGTTGAACCGCACCAGCAATGTAAGCATGCTGTTAACTACTGGCACTCTATCAAGTGGTGTTGCCTAAGGCCAAGGCAAGAATATCTTTTTTTTCCGTAAATTACCTTTGGTCTTTGGCGTGACATATTCCAGCACCAGCAATCCCCGGCGTTGTTACGGGGTTTGTCGCACCTTGTGATAGCGAAACGTCGCCGTATTGTTATGGCAGAGCCCCTCCCCGACACTCGCTAGTCTGCAATCTGCGCTTTGCAGCCCCGGCTTCGCTCTGCACACTGTTGATTCAGCAGCACAAGAGAATATGGTCATCTATCAGGTGTCCTGCATATGTATGTGATGTGCTGCGGGGTAAGCACATGAAAACCCTGAGAACCATACATTTCTAACCAAAGCAAATAAAGGTGGTAAGGTCATAAATGTGGGGGAACTGTTTCTTTGGCCTAGCAAGCAACGGCCTTTTAAAAACACATTTGATCAATGACGTTAAAAACCTTCAAGTATAGTTTGAACACCCTAAATTTCGCAACGGTTCTACCGGAAACCATAATGTACATCGGCTGTTCGGTTTGGGGGAAACTGGAACGCCCCGCTGTAGAGATCTCTGGACCCGCCCCTGATCTTCGTTGACCACATATATTTTTGTGAAGTCTAGCCTGCATAAGGAAAACTGACGGAACATAAGTGTGCAGGAAACGGAACATCGCAGGCACAGTTGTTTGTCATAGCCTGAAGCTGCTCTGGCAAGATTGCTGATCTGTCCTGGCTGATAGCAAGTTGTTTTCAAGACTGCCTCATTCATCTGCATCTCTTCTTTTTCTCTCTGCAGGTGTGGGCAGTGAATAGCATGTCTTTGAGCCTTTGGGTGGATTCAGAGGATAGTGAGTTTGACGACGAAGGGATGGAGGCAGGTTGGTAACTTCTTCTTTCATTGATCACTATGCGTTTAGCCCTTTACTGAAGCACGTGCCTTCAATTCCAGCTAGTGAAACCCGGTCCATGTACATGAACACTGGATTGCATACTGTAACTGCCTGCCACTGCCTGCCACTGCCTGCCACTGCCTGCCACTGCCTGCCACTGCCTGCTGATTCTTTTTGCATTGAAGTAGTAGCAGCAACATTCCTCAAGTTGTCCTTGTTCATGTAGGTCATTCAGTAACCGGGGAGAAATACCTGCATTACATCATAGCTGATGCGAATGAACTGTGCAAAATGGAGCAATGTAAGCAACTCCAAGGGCATGTAGCACCAGATGTTGTACAGTCTTGCTCAACCCAAGAGTACGTAACGCCAAAGTGTCCGACTGCTTATGGAAGTGGAAATGGTCAATGCGCCATTCACGTAGCTTTTGGTGTTCAGTTTTCATTAGGAAACCGACGTCACAGATGCAAATACAGTGCAAGACCTGTTCTGCACTGCAGTGGTGGATTCGGCCTCAACAATTCATACAAACCAGCATTTTAATGTGAAGTACATTCGTGCTTGTGGGCACGCTGCCCCGCACGTCTCCCTGTAGTCCTTTGATCTCACCGTGACAGCGGACACTTGCCAAAGCAGCTGGCTCTGGTCGTCACGTACATGTACTCTTGCCGTGACGAGTGCGGCGCGCAGCGTAGCACACTACAAATGAAGTGACTTGCATTACAACCCATGGGACATGCCGGAAGAAACTGTCCCGAGTGATCTTTGCAGTTGAGTTTGAGATTGATTGTGCTGTGTGCTGTGTGTGTGTGTGTGTGTGTGTGTGTGTGTGTGTGTGTGTGTGTGTGTGTGTGTGTGCCGTGTATGTGTGTGTGTGTGTGTGTGTGCGTGTGGGGGTGGGGGTATCTGTTTGGCTGTGCTATTATCACCATACAGGTAATGCAACTGTAATCCTAATGGCCGCCACGTCACCAGCATTTTATGGTGGTGCCGGTGTCAATGACACCTACCAGTGCAATGCAGCGCAGCAGTGGACGTTGATGAGCGGAAGGGCGAGCAACGGCCAGCTGTCCTTGGCAAACTTCACTGCTCACCCATTCAACGTGCACGGCAAGAACAGCACATCCGCTACCGGTTAGTAGAGTGCACTGTACTACTGTATGAGCACAGTGTTCCAAAACACTATATCCGCTGTAGGGAGACCTGACCTCTACGGCTAGACGGGTGGTCATGGTGATTACGGCTCTTCACTGCATGTCAGCATAGCCGTATGGCATTATTATTATTATTATGGGCACGAGAGTGGCAATGATGTACACAGTGACTCTTGGGTGTGACAACACTCCTGGAGGCATTCAAAAGTAGCCCTATTTCCGATGTGTCACAATAGGCAACCCTGGCCTACTGGACACGCTATGCTGCAGGGTTTTGCTTATGCTGCTGGTATTTTTTCCTTCTTTTCGTAGTACGCTCATGTCGTGTTTGTCCGGGTTGTGCAGGACTGGGCACTGCCCAAATCACTTTGAATTTGAAATATCCATAACTGAATCATGTATGTTTCAATGGGAAATGGCCAGAGATCTGGCATATGGCATTATCCGCATATGGCATCACTATATCCACATATGGCATCACTATATCCACGAAAATTGCCAAAAAGAGTAGAATATCTCCACTACTTCAAGTAAAACTCATTTACATGGTGCCTGGTAGACCAAGGTGCCAGTGACTTTGAGGTCCGGATAAGAGGGATACGAGTGTACTGATGATCTGTTGTGATTTTCTACCAACAGGAGTATAGAATCCCCAGAGTGCGCAACTATTACTAATATTCTTGTCCACTGTACATCAAAATTCATGGTCTCCGTTACTGCTTTCCTGTCCCTATTCCGCTGGAGTCTAGAGTGAAATATCTTTATAAGAGGTAATACCTCGCTATAGGGTGTTCTTGTGTACATGTGTGTTAACTTCTCCCTCCTTCTGCTGCTGCTTGTGTTCTTTGTCCTAACTTGGTGAAGTCACTGAATGCGATGCTGACAAGACCCCAGCAACCAGCAATGTGGTGCCGATCGCCGTCGGAGCAGCTCTATGCGGCCTTGTGCTAATCGTCCTGGTGGCCTACATCATTGGACGCAGTCGACACCAGCGCACGCACCGAGGATACCAGTCTGTCTAACCTGGTGTTGTACGTGTTTCGGCGGATACTACGCTGTCCGCTTAGATAAGGGCTGGCTAATGCGACCTTGTACTCGTTGCGTTTGTAACACGCTGTGTCACAGGCAGCTCTGTTTGGATGTCCTCGTATATCTGCTCATCCTCATCACATGACCAGAGCATCGCATCGCTACCAAGTGTGGTTGGTTACTTTCCCTTTCTTCTATCACTTCTTAATGAATCATGCTTGGTGTTTGTCGCTGGACCATGACCTTTTTTCCGCCAATTTCTTTGATTCCCTGTGTAACATCACGCACACACGCATCCTGTACAATGGCAACGTTTGTCTGTGTGTCTAGATGATTTTGAATTGTTTTTCCGGCTCCGCTTCATTTTAATCAATGACACATTGTGCCAATAATAATAATTATATCTGTGTTTCATGTTTGTTCTCCTGTATTCTAAGCTAGCATTGGCAGCGAGTACTTGTCCACTTATTTACCTTCACCATTTACTAGTAGTAGCATGACAGAAGTGACTCGTGCCATCTCTTTAGTTTCTAGAATGCTTTACAGCCGCCCTTCATGTACACTTCAGTGGCGCTCCGTGCGGTGGGAGTTGAACTCTTCATCTGCCGATTATTTTTGACGTGAACGATGACTTTTGAATATCATGCACCTTGTGTCCTCTCTCTTTCGTTGGCCAGGTGCTTCTAACTCTCTTGTGTGTGGTCCCTTCCGTCGGCTGTCTGAGTGCATCTTGTGGTGCCCTGGGTTTTGTGTGTGTGTGTGTGCGTGCGCGTGTGTGTGTGTGTAGCTGTGTGGTGTAGACCAGGCTGAATAGTGCCGGCCAATTCTTCAGCCTTGCAAGCTGCTGAATGGTGCAATCCCAGCACAAGTTGCTATGGCTTCTGCTGTAGCATCGCTATCATCGCCTCCGGCGATGGGCGTCCAATGGTGTGTGTGTGTGTGTGTGTCTTGATCTGTTTCATTTAGATTCAGATCCGCTATCGTTGCTATAAGAGAAAATCTGTGGGTGCACATCCAATGTATTTGCACATGTGCGTGCTTCTCTTACGACGGGCGTATACATAGGACATTTTGTGCGTGCGGCGTGATGTGCATGCGGTGGTGGTGTGTGTGTGCGTGTTTGTGTGCACACGTGTGTGTATTCGTTCGTACGTGCATGTGTGCATGACTGTGTGT